CGTGGCAAAACAATACATTCGAATTAATCGATACAACCGGAAAAAAGCCCTAGTGTACCCTGATCCCCAAAATGACAGAAATATACTCAAATGCATCAGAATTAAACAGAATCGAATTGGGAAATAATGTTGTAATATAAGACCCAGAAGACTGAATATTGTGTAAATTGGCAGTTTAGTAATTGAAAATCTCCTGCCATTTGGAATCCCTGGTTTTCATTTGAAACTGAAATTAAATTTAAAGCCTTACAAATAACTGAACAAAACGAACAATGACTGATCTTTATGTCATCCATTAACACAATGTGACAATGACATCTTATTGTAAATGGAAATGGAATTTATTGCATTATCATGACTATCATAGACCATTTGCATTTAAGGCAGGATTTACTCAACAAAATCTAAATCAGCTAATTAAACTGAAAAGCGAACAATGACAAGTGAACCGTGCTCATGCTCTCATTCTCTCCTGCATTCATGGGAGACAAACACACATTCAGACTCACTCTATTTCAAAGCTACTGTTAAGACAGCCCTGTTGACCTTGAAGAGCAAACTATTACGAACAGATCAATAAAGGTCTCCTTCAGAGCAAGTATGTGGATCCAACAAAAACAAATCCCACTGCACTACTGCCCTTCCTTTTAATAACTTGTCCAATAAAGCCTCTGCTGTAGATACAGTTCGCCTCTTTATTGAACAAATCTCTGACATGTTTTACTGGATGGTATCATCTATCTTCATATCACCCCCTCATCCATGACAGTATATCTGACCCAGTTCCTCATTCTAAATAACAACACTTTTCTTTCCCCGTAACATTTTGGAAACTGCCCATTCAGTGTGTGCGTGCGGCAGATGGTTGTGCTAGGATAAGTCTTTTGGGACGATGAGTTCTTGCTGCTTGAGCTCACAGCTGTTTGTTCTTCCAACTCTTCATAAGAAACGGACAGACTCTCTCTCTTTCACAGATGCTTTCTACATCCTTTTTTCATTAGCAACAACGTGGGAACATGTATATAACTCACACTCACTAAACAGTGGATAATCCGTGTAATTTATTTGTAAAAAGCAGAGCTGGATTACATTTCTCACAAAGCAAGCATGGCGGTTTGAGCAGGTCTGCGTCTGCAAATTGATACGTCACGTTAACACGCATCAACGTAGACTATCAGTGCATTAGTGCAGATAACAATATCTTTATGCACTTATTACTGAATTTTGCAATGGCAAATTTTTTTATCATGGAGTGAATTATCTTTATTTATTCATGACTGATAAAGAAAATGGAAAATCTCCAGTAAAACCAGGTGATGTTGTTCAAGTTATCTATATATCTTAGCTACAGCCATTTTTCCAGGTGAGCATGAACTTAATTATACTAAAAATCTTGCCAACATTTTGCTGACACACAGATGTGGAAGAAATTATTTTATTTTTTGAAAAGTACAGAATGTTATTTCCGCATGCAATTTGATGGAACAGCCAAGTTTACTTGAAAGAAGGCATAAGAAAATACTACAAATACTTTACATGGCTCAACAATGTTTTTCTTTCATTTTATTTTTTTTTTGCCAGCCATTGCTTCCTGCCATTTTCACTGGCAAAACAACAAAATAATGAAGAAATCTAGAAACACATTTTTATATAGACTAGAAATGGTTTTGTGTGTGTTTCTTTTTTATACTTTTATTCAGCAAAGATGCATTTGTAATGCTAACATATTTTTTTATGACCCTTTTGATTATGAAAAAATGGCTTACAAGGTAAATTTGTTTGATTGGTTTATAGTCTACTATAAAAAAAGTTTAAGTCTGAAGGTTTTTTAAAGGGGTCATATGATGCGATTTCAAGTTTTCCTTTCTCTTTGGAGTGTTACAAGCTGTTCGTGAATACATAAGATCCCTAAAGTTGCAAAGACTAAAGTCTCAAACCCAAAGAGATATTCTTAATAAAAGTTAAAACTCTTTATCTTTTTATAACTCGTCCACGCCCTCCTAAAAAGCCTCGTTTAAACAGACCCCCACATACAGTATCTACGTCACTGTGTGGGAAGATTTGCATAACACCGCCCAAATGTTCACGCAAAGAAAGAAGGCGTAACTTTTATTCTCGCTGTAGTATTGTTGCCGCCGCTGGCGTCATGTCGTGGAGATGCTGTGTGTTTTCGTTGTGAAAGCGAAACTACTTTGTTTGGTCTTCCAAAAGAGGACACAACTAGAAATCAGTGGTTAAGTTGTATTTGCAACACTGTTCCAGAACAGTTCAACCCAAATATTCAGATGTGTGCAACGCATTTTACGGAGGACGAGGGCTGTTTCCTGGGAGAGTAGCCTACAATGCTACTCTCTATGCTATGTTCTGACAAATAATGCTGACTCACAGCCTGTAAGTACGTTTTCTTATTTAAAGGATTTGCCACTGATGATTCAAACGTGAGTTTTGAGCAATGTAGAGTAGCGCTTGTTGTTTGTTTCTCCGATCACAAATGCAGACATGGTTTTATGTTTATGCGGCGCGATACACAACGTAACACGTAAAAAGACAGTATAAGTCATCATAATCCATAAGTATGTCCCCACTGGATGCAACAAATGCTTTTTTTTGGTTCTGTCTCGTCACGCCGGGGACACGGCATCACAATATGGTAAGGGGCGTAACATTTCCGTCACACGCTTGAGGTATTCGGTCAATCACAACGGACTGGATAGCTGGCCAATCAGAGCACACCTCGCTTTTCAGACCGATGAGCTTTGTAAAAATCAACGCGTTTCAGAAAGGCAGGGCATAGAGGAAGCAACAATAATGTACAATATGTGGAAAATAATGTGTTTTGCACCTTAAACAGCATAAACATTGCATTACACCAGATACACAAAATAATGTTCTTTTTAGCAACACCATATGACCCCTTTAAGTTCAAACAACAAAAAAGTTCACAAGGTATAAAAAAACATATACAAGATCAATAAATGTAACATTTTCTTGTGGCAATACAGGTCTGAAAGGGCAGGTGTCTTTTCCATCAACTATCTGGAAACTCTTTCACACTGGCTCCAGGGCATCCTCATTTTTGAGCCCTGCTTTACTTTTATTTCTCTATTGATGAGCTTTTGAACAGCCAGTCTGACTCCTGCCTCATTAAATCACCTGTTGATCTTCTCAGAGGTCAAAAACCAGCCTGAAATAGCCACCAACCAGGCCCCCGTCAGCACCCACCATCTTCCAGCGCCAAATGTCACTGTAGACTAGAGGCATGATGGGCCATAATTATCATATCAAATATCCAAACAACCATCAGAAAAGAGAAACTTACCCATTCCGTGTTAGTTAGACTATTGGCCCTGATGGGTTCATCAGGCCCTTCCTCAAATTAAAATCTGCTGATTGCTTGTTTCATTTTCACAAGGTCATTGTTGTAAGTGACCTATAGGGAGCTTGTGAGTGGGAGATCTATGTGAGCTCATCATGGGGATGGCAGAGAGAGGCCATCTCATCACGGCATATGCTGCGCCAATGACACACTGATTGATTTGTAAAACGAAGGAGGTGGAGACTCATGAGCTTGGTGGGGTGGAAGGTCTCTCTGGGCTCATTTAGTACTTAAAAGCATAATTAGAAAGAAAGAGTCAGGGGGTTGGGCATGTGCTGCTTCTTGTGCTTTGAAAAACTGTGATTTTGCTCTGTGCACTTGTGCTATCACAATGAGAGTTACATTGTTACCGGTAAGTGGCATCAAGTGACTGTGTTTATGAGTGAGTCACTGAATATTTTATTAAATTGACTTGGTCTAAAACACTGATTCATTATAAAACTAAACACTAATGAGTGGTCAACTGAATCATTCACTCAAATATTCATTCAAACTCACTGATGCATTTAGCAACAAAAACAGGTGGCCTACGTCATCTTTTGGAACGCCACTTTCTCATGAACTAGGGCTGCACGACATTGGAAAAAAAACTCACATTGCGATATTTTGTTTTTCTGTGATTTCACCCTTACATCTAATCTGAAAGCAAATAGTAAACATATTTTGGTGTGCTGTCCTGGGGGAGGGCTCCGAGCCCAGAATATAGCCCGAACCCAGAAAACTCCCCCTATCCCTAATATGGGAAAAAAATAGAAAATAGATTAGGAGCAGTGTTGTGCAAGTTACTTCCAAACTGTAATACATTATAGATTACTTGTTTCTGTTATTTAAAAGTAATTCCTTACCTTACAATATTACTGTCTCAGAATTGTAATGCGTTACATGACTCCTGTATTACTTTTGAGTTACTTTCACCAAAATACAAACTACCAAAATAACTACAGAAGTAAAACTTAAGGTAACACTTTATTTTAGGGTCTCTTAACTAGTTGCTTATTAGCATGCATATTACTAGAATATTAGCCATTTATTAGCAGTAATTAAGCACATATTAATGCTTTATTCTACATGACCTAATTCTATATCCCTAATCCTAACCAATACCTAAACTTAACAACTACCTTACTAATTATTAATAAGCAGCAAATTAGGAATTTATTGAGGAGAAATTCGTAGTTAAGTGTTCACTATTCTAAAGTGTTACCATACTTAACATTCTAAAATCACAAAATGTACTGCAGAGCATTTTACATCCAATAGAGGGCGATATGGCGTAGCATAATGACTGTGGGCTATCCAGGCTACAAACAATATAGCTTATAATTGGCAAAGTGAAGACTCAAGACAATGCAAGAAAGGATGACAGCCAGAATCACAAACGATCCAAGTCTGTTAAAAGTATGGTAGAGGTAAAGTGATTATCTGGCAATATCTGTGAATAGCTTGGATCTATTCATATTAGACACAACAGGACTATATGTAAACTCTAATGCCATGACAAGATGCGCATACATCCATCTCGCGCATGTACAGTCCTCTGCCATCTTCACCCATTAGCCGCTTTTCCACTGGCCAGTGCGAGCCAGGGCTTACAGTGAGCTGGGCGGGGCTAATAGCCTTGGACCTCAAGCACAGAGGCCGAAATCATGCCGCGTTTCCACTGTCGGGCCAGTAGCTTCGAGGCACTCCTGTAAAACCCGACCTAAACACTCCTTCACTGGACTACGTCACACAATACAAAGTTCCACCAG